TGGATGGAAGTTGAATTGTGCAGCAACTACGCTACACTTCGCCCGGCAAGTAATGAATCCAACCAAGCCTTGGTTCCGCAAGGGCGTTGGCAAGCGATTTCTCACAGTCCTAAGCCTCTTGATGTTGATGTTCTCTGTTCAGACGTTGGACATTTGAGTGCATCATCAGTCTAGCTGCATCTACAGCCAAGGCTTTGCGAGATATGACTCAGACATGTGCTGAACGCGCGTCCTCATCTCGTTTCACGTTTGGCAGCGGGGGATTGGCGAGAGAATACGTGCCGACGCGGACTTGCAAGATGTGCAGTACTTGTCATGCATTCATGGTAGCTGGAAGCATGAGGCATTCCACCGCATTCCGAACCATGTCCTTCGTGCTTCACAAGGATTGTGAGAATGTGAATTTTGCAGGTCGCTTGAAATACAAGCACATGCACGATGCTACATGCGACGCAAGCAAGGCGTCAAACAGCGTGCGCTACGTGCAACGCAAGGCATCAAACAGCAAGCGTGAGACATCGTGAAACGTGCGACGGCTGTTGCAGTTGCATGCGTGAGACAGTACGTCTTGTGTGAAAGACATTGCGACACATGTGACGGCTGTTGCAATTGCATGTGTGAGACAAAAACAACTTGTGTGAAACAACTTGTGTGAAACTCTTGTGGCTCATGGGGTGTATGGCTGCGCAGACGTCGGACAGTCATGTCAAGTGCTGCGTGTTCAATGTTTCACTTACGTTTCTTTTGCATCTCCGGTGTTTCACTCGTGTTTCTCATTCACAGTCCAATCACACAAAGGCTGTCGCCAAAATAATGACAGCCTCGATTACCATCGAGATCCACAGTCTCTGACCAGGATACCTCACCATATATATATATACATATACCAACCCAGCCCCCTCAAGACTGTTAGCCGGGACTAGCGCTTAGCTCAGAACAACAGACACTATCAATGGACCAGTTTGATGCCCAAGCAGAGTGGAAATTGCAAGGTAGACTGGAGCAGATGACAAGGATGTTTCTTACAGGAAAGCATGTTAGCAACATTTTTCCTGCCCTGGCTTGATTCTTATTCGATTTTCTTCACTTCGACCAGGGCATCATTGCAGATTACCTTGGGAATCTGTTCCACTATGTGGTCAGCAGTGACCATCCCTACTTGCAAGGAAGGAACAGGCAGCAGAGAATCAGACTTGTTTCTGAAAATTTGCAATTACTATGCAGCTGCACCTGCAAATGAGATTGCCAGCCAGCTGGGCAATTTGACAGAGGGAATGATCAGGAAAACTGCCTCTTCAAGCCTTAAATTGAGAGCTAAAGCTGCTGAGGCCAGAAGCTTAGTGAACTTTGCAGTGCAGCTCTGCTATGAAGCTTTCCCTCCTGAAGCTGCTACAGGCCAGGAGGCCGGCATGAAGCAGGCTGTTCTCAGGTTGCAGAGGTGCTATGCCTGCCTGCATGATGACAGATATGATCAAAATCGCCTCCTGGCTGCATGCAGCCAGCTCTGCTCTTTGGTTAGATTTTGCAAGACAAGGAGGCCGATTTGTAGCACATCAAGCTTAAACATCATGGTGCAACGGAGGTTTGCCTCCAAGAGGGCTTCCCCGGCCTCACCTGGACTTACAGGGATGAAGACATGGATGGCTACCTGGCAAGTGTAGCTAAGTTGAAGGGAGGTTCTCACAGTCCCAAATCTGTGGCCAATTCAATGCTAGAGAGATGGAGGGCCAAAAGCCTGCCCCATCTGAAACCCAGCTGATGGAAAAAAAGTTCTCTGCAGGCAAGGCACTTGAGCTGGCAGTTTGTTTGCAGTGATTAGTTGGTGGCACCTTAAGGCGCAACAAATTTTAGGATAGGATTGGTCCAAGTTCACTCCTTAGTTCTCGTCTGCAAGGAGTGGGACTGTTTGTCATTCAAAAGCTAGTATTCCAGGAGTGCAGGAGCACTCCTTAATTCATGAACATGCACCCCTGCAAGCTACCAACCCCATGCTATGTAGCTGAGAATGTGAGTGCAGGAGTGATGCTGCGTGCCATGCATGCTCATTCACTCCTATGAGTTAGTTACGTACCTTGAATTTAAAGTTTTTTTACATTCCTTATTTAGATGTTTTTCTAACATACCTTATTCAAGGGTTCCAACCTTAACCAAGGAGAGCTAAAAGACCTTAAATTGATTACGGACTTTTGGATGCTCTGGGCAATGAGTGCCTACCATGGATTGTATGCGTTTCTCGGGATTCCCAAATTACATTTGGGTTCTTTCTTTGCGGTTCTGAATGACAACCATGCGCAGTGTGCGTTTTTTGGGCTTCCGAAAACGCATGCCTGTTGTTGTACGTGCAGCGTATTTCCAGTCACCAACTACCTGCCAGCAAAAGCAGTGCTGAAAAAACATTGCGACAGCTTCCCAAACTCCTTCAATGGATTTTGTGTATTAGGCTCCTTGTAATGTGTTAAAAAAATAACTCATGTCAAATTATTGCGAAAGCTGCTGCACGCGGAAGGTGGCGGAAGCCGGGGCGCAAACGGTAAATTGTTTGGGCAGCCACGGTATCTTAATTTAGAACAGCACCCCAAAAGATTGTGATTGCAATTACATGTAGGTGAGTTCACATGTCATAAACTTATTATACACGGCTGTTATACCGTGGGCCCTTGCAAAATGTACCATAAAAGTCCACACATCCTCACCATTTCGCGCAAAAGTAACGGAACCTCAAAACTAGCTTCCGCGACGAAAGACAAGTAAGTGTCTGTGCTTACAAAAAACACATGTACGCCTCCCCCCAATGTAACAAGGAACTGAATAAGATTCTGCTTTACAACTGACAACGGACAATGGATTTTGTGCTGATTTTTGGTGACACCACGACGGGGGTGGAATTGTTTCCCGTAATTTTTTTAACCCTCGAAGGCTTGTGCTTGTACATGATTTCCAAGTACATATGTATATCCTAACCCAATTCAGGTTGCGCTCTATTTCGGGGATCGCTCATGGACTTCTCAGTTAATAAAAAGTATGTCGTCCTGCCAGAGTCAAGAGTGTTGAGCAAAACAAGCCCCGACCTGAACAATCTGATGTATATAAACTTGGTTAGTGGGCCTATACTAAGGGTAATGTTATGGGCTTCTTGAGCTGTGTGGTGTGTATCCAATTGTTACCCATAGGGCGCCGTATTCTGACCCCTTAGTCTTAATCCCTAAACTCCAAACCTTCAGCTGTGGTCTGCGCGCCCATGGGCGCAACTTGTTGCGGTCGGCCATGTAGCGAGCCCAGGCTTCTTGGCACACAATGGTGAAAACTTACAAACAATTTATAGGAAAAATGTCCGTGCAGATGACATGCGTGTTTCCGTCAGTTTGGCTGTTTGCAACTGTTTCCCCCCAATTTTTGAAACAATGATTTGCTCAAATTCTGTAATATTTCACCTGAAACATGTCCAGTTATCCCTGTATATACCCCGAATTTTGTTTATATTCCCCCACCTCTGTAAGCACCAGCGGGGCTTGTCAATTGTCTAATCAAATTACAGCAGAAATGTATAGGGATAACTGTCCAGTTGTCACGGGAATGAAAAGATATTATGTTGTCAGTGTGGCAGTTGCTGCGATTGCTCGCGCGACTCCATTTTGGTAAGCTCTTTCCATCGAAGTTAAATTGGGGGTTTTCAAGCTAAAGGTTTTTTTTGGTGGAGTCATTTCCACCAAGATAATACGGGTTACTTTAACAATAATTGGGAGCCTGCCTCACACAGGCCATCCACGCTTGTGTATGGATTTCCACTTTCATTGCCAGGGTTCAGAGCATTGGGGAAGCACGGGAGGATGGATTGGGATATAGGGACTACACCCTAAACCTTGAACCTTGCGGGGTTACTAATTACGGAGATCCATCGCTCCGTTGCCTAGTACTTTTGTTGTGTGGCCTGATCCCTCCAATAGTGACTCGCTTTGTCCTCCGCATCTTACGAACAACATTCCCAGTTAACGTTTAGGGTTTCACGGGGGTTGGAGGGTGGAATGGGTTTCTTTGCTCAATGGGAGTGAGATTGTCGTGTTCTGTAGCGTTTCATTGATTCATATCGTGTGTTTGGAATGTGCGCTTCCTAATAAATGTCGGGGCGGTAATTATGAAAACAAAGTTTTGGGGTACATCATACTATAGTTGTACAGGAAGTCTAAAGGTCCAATGTGGGTTTTTGTGCTTATGAAACGACTGGTTGCGTAAATATAGACCCCCAACGCATCCCCAGCATTGTTTTCGGAGCATGTCATTTGAAGCCCCTGAGTCCTAAACCTCTACGCAGACCTTGAAACTCTAAACGTTCAATATGTAGTCGCACAACAGTCCCTAACCTCATATGCGAAGGTGTATCCCAAACCCGAAACCCAGACGCCTCAACTTGCAGCCCCAACAGGCATTACTAGGTAACATGGGATTCAGGGCTCAGGGTCTAGGATCTCGATATGAGCTTGAGTCTCAGTTCTTCAAGGGCGGTTATATAAGGGATTATGTAGGGGAGTGTTATTGGTATTATTAAGGGGGATACTAGGAGTTCAGAGTATATCTCACATAGAGGTTTTGGGGCTGGGACATGCGGTGCAGTGGGCAGGGTTCACACTAGAGAGTTTAGGACTTGGGAAATACGCTTTAGGCTCTCGGGTTAAGTGTCTTACGATTACCATTATACATAACATTCTTGTTTCGTGATATGAGTATGCAAGCCCAGGTTCTCCGTGATCATAGCCCTAAACTCTGCATCTAAAACCCTGAGCTTTGTAATCCCTGGACCAAAACCCGAAACCCTAAACCCCAGACACTAAACCCTAAATCCTAACTAACATAGTAATTTGCATTCTATTTTCCATTATCCCAATATAACCCCCAACGAAACCCTATCCCTTTAAAGGTACCTAGGGTTTCCATTTTCTTTTCCATTATCCCAATATAACCCCCAATAAAACCCTAAACCCGTAGAATGCCGAGACCTGGCCAGGATGTGCATCGAGGAACGCATCACCGTGTGTAAGAATCATCCTCGAGCCTCAGCTAAACCACAAAGTTTCCCTTTTAACGAGGGTTTAGGGTTTACGGTTTAGGGTTTAGGGTTTAGGGTTTAGGGTTTAGGGTTTAGGGCGTAGGGATACATTGGAGTTGTCTGGTTGACATTTTAAAAGCGTTCTAGGGGTTGTACAGGGATGTGTAGAGATATATAAAGAGATCGATATGGCTGACCCTGTAACGGCTTGCTAGGGTCTATGTAGGGATATGTAGAGATATAAGCGGATGCAAAAGGTTTTGGGTCTAGGCTTCGTAGATTTTAGTGTCTCAGTGCTTTTAGAGTTTAGAGTTCAGGGGTCTAGCCGCTTAAATCCCTATATTCCCCCAGTTTCCATTTCATTTTCCATTTCATTTTCCCTTTTCTTTTCCATTTGATTCTCCATTATAGGAGGATAATATAGTAACTTAATTTAAGTTCGGTATGGGGTGTTCAAGGTAGTTCTTCAGGTGGCGCTCTCTGGATATGGAGTGGTTGTAACGGGGGTAGGCGGGGCTTCTATTAATTCCTGCGCAGGGGTAATTTTGAACTCATGTCAGGTGTTGGGTTCAAGGCTTTGTTTTGAGGGTTGCTAATGCAGGCTGAGAGGACATGGGAAGGATCCTCTACTGCAAGGGTGCTATGAACTCCACATTCCTTAGGTGTAGCACCCACCCTGTAATAGTGATTGTTAGGGATAACGAGGATTGTAGTAGGGCCCTCTGATATTCTTTTTATACCACTGTTACAGGGTGGGGGGTCCAAAACCCTAAACTTCCCTACACCTTAAAACCCTAAAACCCTAACTAAACCCTAGACCCTAAACCCGAGCCTTGCGGTTTCAGGCATATGCTCCCCCAAGTTGGCATGGAACCATTTGGAACCTCAGGCGGGGCCCTATGGCCCTATGAAATCTACTGTCCTTCAAACGGGGGCGTTTGCAGGGGACCCGAAACGCTGAGGCCCTAAACCCTAAACCCCTGGACCCCTAAACCCCAAAACCCCAAACCCTAAACCCCAAACCCTCAACCCTAAGCCCTAAACCTTAAGCCCCTTAACCCTGATAAATTTTGGTTCATGGACCATCCCAACATTCAAGGACACTTAGACAGATGTGGAGGTTCTCCTCATCAAGTGTCCCTTAAGCCGTGAACGCGAAAGACGAAACTGAACTGTAAACCCCAATCCCAAAACCGTAAAACCCAGGCCGAATTGAACCAGTACCGTAAGCGTAGGCTCAGAATCTGGATGCCCTAAAGTCAGGTTTAGTGAGGTGAGTGGGCTTTCAGCCACGGGTTCAGGGCCCCAACATGCATGCAACGAGATTGCATGTTTTCAGGATCTGCGGGTCGGGGTTTAAGGAGGCTTCGAGGTTAAGGTGTATGGTCTAGGGTTTAGGAGCCGGTTCCATGCATTGGCTCTTACGAGCTTCTATAATGCAATTTTTGGATGGTTTATTCTAGCTAACTGCAATGCTGACGTTAAGCCCCTGAACCCTATACCCTACACCCTGAACCGTAAACCCCAAACCCTAAATGATACAGTCCATATTCTTTTGCCACTCCCCTGTATACCCCTAGATGACTCCTTCAGGGATTGGTGTGTGAGCTGTTTGCACAAGCCTGAGTTTAGGCGGTTTTCCCATGGTTCGAGGCTGAGCTTTTCTGGGGCCTATGGTCTAAGTGGGGCTTAGGGCTCAGGGTCTAGGGCTCTTGAATTCAATGCATTTAGTTGCGAAAACGGCATTTAGGGTTCTGCCTGCCGTTTGGCAACAGTATAAAAGTCAAGTCGACACCATCTTCATGACCAGGAGAGTTGAGCGAGTCTGCTCGTTACCGAGTTGCTGTTGAGGAACTTGAGGTCAGCTCCTACAGTAAAGAAACCCCATTATCCACTATATATCCATGTTGTGGTAATTCATTCCCTCAGCCCTAAATCTTTAACCCTAAGCCCTATATACCCTAAACCCTAAACCCTATGTACCCATGTTGTGGTGCTTTAACTTAAGTTCCTTAAGCGCAACCCAGGTTAGTGGCTCGGTATGGGAACCGCATAGCCTAAGTCCAAAGAATCTCAGGCCCAAATTTATGCATCGAGTCAGGGCCACAGGCTCTGAACCCAATATGCGCGGCTTAGGGTTGAGGGTTCCGGGTTTAGGGTTTTGGGTTCAAGGCTTCGGGTTTAGGGGTTCGGGTTTAGGGTCCAGGGTTTAGGGTCCAGGCTTTAGGGTTTAGAGTTCAGGGTTTTGCGTTCAGGGTTTGGTTGCAAGCCCCGAAACCCTACCGTTGAAAACGCCCTTAGCGCTACATTCTTCACGCACGAGGTGAACATTTCGAGCTGGAGACCTTCAAGTTCATTGAAGAAATGGACTCCCCCGTGACTCTTTGAGCTTTTGCAGCGTAGGGATTTGGGCTTCCTCAAAATTGAAGTTTGAGTTTGGGAGTCCAAACCTAAAGTGCAAGAAGCCGTCATCATTCTTTACAGTATGGGTTCGTACCAGGCCAGCAACCCTACGTAAAGGCTTTCATTGGCATTGTAGGGTTCGTAGGGTTTGTAGGGTTTGTGGGTTTGTAGGGTTTGTGGGTTTGTAGGGTTTGTGGGTCTGTAGGGTTTGTAGGGTTAAGGTTTGGGGTTTAGAGATGGGGGTTTAGGCTAACATTTTTACGGTTTAGAGTTTAGAGCCTCTCTGGAGTTTCCATCAAGCCCGCTTCCCTCGTTTCGTTGGGGTCCTTTGTGAGGTCCTCCTTCTTCAAACCACAGCCCTCACCCTAAACCCTGAGCACCCGCATGTTTTGCAAGGTTTTCCGATTCCTCCTGTCATTTTCGTGATCCCACCCCTGAGCGGTTTAGGGTTTAGTGTTTAGGGTCGAGGGAAAACCCTGGGTTTGGGGAATCAATCGAACTAAGTCCTTAGGCAGAGACCTTCAATCCTAACCCCCAAGTGCGAGTTTCTGGAAACTTAGGGACCCTTGCTTGAGGTCCTTGTAACAATGGGAAGGATATGTTGAGGTATATACCCTAAACTAAGCTCATCCCAGGTGCCTCCGCTCCTGAAGGGATTGCAGGGCAACTGGTATCGTGCAGCACTTCGGCTTTGGCGGTGTAATAAGTTTAGAGTTTTAGGGTTTAGGGTGTGGCATATTCCCCAAACCCTAAACCCTAAACCCTAAACCTGATGATTCTAATGACCTAGGGTTGGCTTTGTTTTGTTGCGCAGTAGTGTTCAAAAGTGAGTATGTGCACAACCTTGAGTCAGTCCAACGGGTTTAGGTTTAGGGGTTTAGGGTTTAGGGTTTAGGGAGTCTCTAGATGAACAATTTTGAGCCGTGTCCTCAGCAGCTCTACATAGGAAATTCGCCAATTTCAAGTCAGGTTGGAAGCGCAGTTTTGTAAGGGTCAGAATTAAAAAAAGAGTGCCAAGGCCCGCAGATTGCACAGAAAACTCGCTCCCTCTTCTCAGTGGCCCCACCAACAGGCTCAGGCCTGAACCACAGGAATCCAAGCCCAAACGCCTCACACTAAGCACTAAACACAGAGACAAACCACACCCCAAACCCTAACAGTAACTCCTGAATTCTACATCCTGAGTCCCACTCACAGGCTCAAGGGACGTTGTAAGTAACAATAGGGAGTTTATAGCCCCATCTATAACCAAGTCACTAAGGCCCCTAGACCCTAAACCTTATAATCCCTATAAGTCCTTACATTTCCCTATAACCCCCTTAAGGGATCTCTATGGAACCAACCTTATGAATCCCTATCAATCCGTACATCTCCCCATAAACCCTTTAAGGGATCCCTAGGAACTTATGTACAAAGTCACCCACGCACTTCTTAAGAGCGACTTACTAGGTCCTGTGTCTCTCAGGAAGGCAATCTACAGGGGTTTGGGGTTCAGGGTTGGGAAGGAACCTAAACCCTAAACCCGAAACCCTAAACCCAAAAAAATACCCGAAACCCTAACCCTAAACCTAGAACTCGAAACCCTAATCCTCAAGTAGTAGACCCAAAGCCTTAAATCCTTGAACTCGAACCCCTAAACCATAAATATTATCTACACAACCCCCAACCCTTGATCCTTGAACTCTAATCCCTAAATCTTAAACCGTATTTCCATTTCGTTGTCCATCTTTCTTTTCCATTTGATTTTCACTTCTCCTTCATCCCTAAACCCTAATCTGTTCATGCAGATGTGAAAGTCCGCCGATTTCACTAAAGACCTTAAACCCCAATTCCTAAGCCTGAATGCCCAAACCTCAATCCCTCAACCCTAAACCCTAAACCCTAATCCCCAAATCCTAAACCTTAGACCCTAAGCCAACGCGCGAAGCAAGATTGTTTGCCATGTGCAACGAAAGCATTGGTAGCGCTTGGCGGTCATAAAAAACCTTTAAACCCTGAACCTCAATTCCTCAGTCCTAGACCCTGATCCCTGAAGCCTGCACCTTAAGCCCTAAACCTTTAAACCCTGAACGGTGAACATATAAGGTTTATATAGGGATAGTGGAAAAGAAAATGGAAACTACCATTTAGGGTCATAGCCCCCCTTAAGTAGATAGAATATGGGGTATATGGGGATCCTATTATGATATACCCAACGCCATATTCTATCTACTTAAGGGGGAACATACGGGTTTAGGGTTTGAGTCAGTCCCAAGGAAGACAATCTACACGTGGGCGAGATTCAAGGCCGGTTTCTCCTTTGGCATGCGGGCTGGCACCTCGGCTGCTGGTTACCTCTCCTATAGGGGAGTTTGGGGTTTGGGAGAGTATAGGGTTTAGAGTTTAGGGTTTAGGGTTTAGGGAGTTTAGGGTTTAGGGGGCTTAGGGTTTATTGCGGCCACATCAGAGACGTATTGACTTCCCTTCCGCAACGCAAGCAGCGGACATGTGTTTAGTGTTTAGGGGTTTATAGGAAGCTATCCCATGGGAGGAATATTGGGATTATGTTGGTGTTATGCTGGGAGATTGGAAAATGAGTTTAGGGTTTAGGTTGGGCACTGCCCCCCCCTCACTAACAGTTGGATAATAAGTATAATATGGTTATATATAGCCTTTAATAGGACCCTAATATAGATAGTTACTGGGTGGTGGCAATACCCAAGGTTTAGGCATCAATCCCCGTACAAGCTTTGGGCAACGTTATGTTAGTTTCTTATTTTGTACCAAGACGAGCCTGAAGTTCCTCATAGTAGGGTTCCAAAGCCATAGTTTACTACGGGGTGCAGGTTCCGGATCACGGTTTAGGATTTAGGACGTATGGTTTGGGGATTCTTGTTTAGGACTTAAGACTGAGTGGCTGGGCTTAGTGCCATTGGTGATGACATCACAGCAATATCTGGAAGAAAGTAAGCTGAGTCTCAGCATGGGCGGTCCAATGCTGGGGTCCTTACATTACCCGTCAGTCCCCAAACAAGCCCAGAACTCTAAACCCTTAAAGTGTCTGTATGTAGAAAAGGGTTAGAGTGCTTCTTGTTTGAGGGAAGCGGACGCCTGCGACTCGGTCGTATCGGCCCCGGTTCTAGGTCTTCGATAAAATCATACATTTTCTCTGGTGGATGGAAGAAATTTGCCTTTCATAGGGACCTCAGAATACTGTGGTTCGTCTAGGGCGTAGGGAATATAAGGTGGGAAGATGTCCTTCATCCATGGTGCCATTTGCAGATTTTAACCGGCAGCAGCAGCAACAACCACCGCGAAGGTTGTAGGATGACCCATTACATGATGGATTCAGATTCCTTGGGGGCCAGGGCTTGCAAGCTACATGTACAAGCTGCTTCTCTAGCTCCCCTGGCTTTGCTTGTCATATATCACTTACCAGGTGCCGTAGACGCTTGGAAGGAAAATGCTCCCTCAACCGGTGCACTAATCTCCGTTCCAGCGGTCAGAGCCTGAAAAGGCAACTGAGCAGTTGTTACGACAAATCATTGCTCAAATCCTATCTGCAAGCTTACTGGTTCTTTTTAGTGCATAAATGAACATGATCCCTATATAATCCCTTTACGCTGTATTCCCATATTCCGTACTGAGAACAAGTAAGAAAGATTCTGAACGCCGAAGACCGTTCAAGGAAGATGCTGCGTCCTGCCTCTGAGATTGAGATCATAGATGAGGAGGACATCATCATAGGCGCACTCAACTGAGCCTAATTCCTTAAAGGGGGTTATATAGGGGATTATGTAAGGGAGTATTATAGGGTTTCATACGATGGATACTAGGAGTTTAGACAGGCTCAACTAGTAGTATGTCGGCCGAGCGGGAAGAATCAAGGAAGTATTGTAGAAGTTCTTAGAAGTTTGAATGGTTACCAATACCAATACCAATACTCCCTCGTCACCCTCACATATTGATAATGTAACCCTAACCCCTAAGCCGTCGTCTTGGAGAAAAGGCCCGATAAAGAA